ACAACATAAGTCGGCGAATTTTGTTTTAATCGACTCGTCCAACTTTTCCAGGTGAAAAATCCAAGAGAAACAATCATGATCGGAACAAATCCTCGGAGGCGCGTTCATCGGATCGAGAATATAATATCAGAGACTACAAGCATTCGCATTCTTCTAAACGGACCAAAAAGGAGTATTCGTCTAGATATTATTCCGCCTCACCTTCGCGTTCTAGTGATGATTATCAATCTAGCTCCAAGCGTCATAAGAAAAAACACGAACATTATGGACATGAAGAACGTTCATCCCAATCTTTTGATGATCGAAAAAGGAGATACGTGGAGAGGTTATTTGTAAGAACTTATCCAAACACTTTCGCCGATCAAATCGCATAAAAACATAATTTGTATATTCAAATTAGCAAGATCGAGGGATACCTAGACCTCTACCTTCCGAACGTGAAAGCCCTAAGCCAACGGAAAAGATTCCAAAAGTATTTGCTTACGATTTTCGAAAACGTCTTTTCTTTATGTTAAATCGAACTCTATAAACTTACTTATATTGGTTTTGATTGGGAACATAGGAATTTAAAAATTTGGATCCTTTGAAAGCGGAGGCAAGACAAGATGCCAAGAAGTCAGCATTGCTTGTTTTTTTATCCTTTTGCCAATTTCTTGTCTTTCGAAATAATAATGGAGATTTTTTTTCAGGAAAGCTAAGAGCGCTTCAAAGGAAAAGAAGGAGAAAAGGTTGAAGGAGAAAAGCAAGTTTGTTGAGTCCATTGATGTACAGGAAGAGACGTCCGAGGAAGCCATAAGAGAGAAAACCAGGGAATTCAATGCCTTACTAGATCAGGTGATTTTCTACTATTGTTATTCTTTTTTCCAGGATTCACATGAACTAAGATGTTTATTTCAATACAGAATCCGAAAGATGTTAATCTGTGGCTAGAATTTATTGAATTTCAAGATAAAAGCATGCAATTTGGAAAAAGCAAAAAGGCGGATGCCGCTGCTACAAGATTAAGTATTAATGAAGTGAAACTTAGTATCTTTGAGAAATCTTTTGAGGCGAATCCGAATGATCCGACTCTACTTGTTGCTTATCTAAAATGCTGTGAACAAGTCTGGGAGTGTGTATTAATGATTATTTATGATTTTGTGATTTTATGCATTGTTGAAAATAAAAGTCGAAACTAATGATCTATATATGTATTCCAGTGTTCCCAGGTTACTCACAAAATGGGACCAAATTCTCAAAGAAAATCCTAGAAACGTCACTCTCTGGATGCAATACCTTAATTTCCGACAAACAAATCTAGTTTCTTTTACGGTAACTCAGTGTATTCAGGTTTTCGAAGAGTGTTTTCATACACTTAGAAAGGAGGTCCTGGCTTCGCCTAATTATGAAGGTTGGTTACGTTGAATGTGGATTTATCTAATATAATGGTGCAACTACTGTTGATCAATGAATGACATTATATTTTACTCAGATCGTCTTAGAATAGAACGAATAATGATTCACGTTTTTCAGCGTGCATGTTTTTTGATGTTTCAATCAGGTACTAATTAACCAAAGTTGAAATTTGCACGTATAAATTAGTAAACATCCCTAATGATCATCATTACCGTAAATCTAGGATACGCCGAAAGGGCATATGCTTGTTGGCAAGCAATGATAGAGTTTACATTTTTTATCCCAGAGAGTTTGCGAAATCAAGTTTTTTATGACCGAGTTGCGGCTTTTGAAAGTTTCTGGGAAGCCGGGTGGGCTCGATTCGGCGAAGATGTAAATTTTATCATAGTTTCTTTCATGCTATTATTGATGATGTTTAGAATAAATGCAAATTTTTTATCCTAGGATGCTAAAGGATGGCATTATTACTTTAATCAAGGTATATACATGTTCATGCATCTGTCTTTAAGCAATTTCA